ACAGCTTGAGGCTCTGTCTCAAAAAAAAAATTATAAGATCTTTATATAGAGAGTTCATGAGGGTACTTTTTTTTTTAAAAAACTCATACACTGAAAAAATATATTAGCAAGTATCCAAAACAGTAGATAATTCAAATGATCATTTTGCAATATGTAGTCATCAGCACTTCTTGTGCTGATATTTTGACACTTTTTTTTTTGAGACAAAGTCTCACTATGTCACCCTCAGTCAAGTGCCATGGCGTCACAGCTCACAGCAACCTCAAACTCTCGGACTTAAGTGATTTTTTTGCCTCAAGCCTCCTAAGTAGATGGGACTGCACACGCCGGCCACAACACCCAGCAAATTTTTGTTGCAGTTGCCACTGTTGTTTAGCGGGCCCGGGGCCAGGTTCGAACCCACCAGCCTGGGTATATGTGGCCAGAACCCTACCCACTGAGCTACTGGTGCCACCCGATATTTGACACTTTCAATGAACTGTTAATGAATCTCAAAGTATGACTTAGTATTGTATCCAAATACCTCTTATAATACAGCTGTACTTTGAACAATATTCAAATTTAGAAACATATGTATGGATATTAACTAAATCTCACTGACCATGGGAAAAAAATCACCTCCTCTAGCCAATTCTAACAAAAATGAAGCAGTTGACAATAGAAAGCTACACAGAAGTTTACCATGACTAGCTCTAGTGCCTGTTCCAGTGCTCCATTTTTCTACTATCTCTGGTCAGTTCCCCTGAATACACCCCAAGAACACAGCCACTGGCAGGAGGAATGCTTACAGGAAGTTTACAGATATGCTTGATTAAGTGCCTGGAGCATGGAACCAGGCCTGTCATATTCCTCATTTCATCCCAGTGCCAAAAAAAAAAAAAAAAAAACTGTTCAGGAAACCTTTAATTCACCTGACTTATGGTAAACAAAAATACGGCCCTCCAACACGCAGCTAACATTTGGCCATATCATTTAGCACCCAATTCCGAATTACTTTGAATTAAAAATTGCTTTTTCCTCCCTTCTGCCTTTCCGACGTACTGGAAGACCAAGTATTTTAATAAAAACTAAATGACATAGGCTCAGGGCCTATAGCTCAACCGGCTAAGGCGCCAGCCACGTACACCTAAGGAGGTGGGTTCCAATCCCCAGCCTGGACCCG